CACCACAGCCGCGCCCCTGGCGGCGGCGGGCGCCACGTCGGCGCCGAGGGGCTGATGCCGATCCACGAGCTTCTGGCCGGAATAAGGAGCGTCTGCTGCCAGGGCCCCGCGCTGTTCCAAGGGCCCACGCCAGCAGCCGCCCCTTCGCAAGGGGCCCCGGAGGCGCCCAGCGCTGCGGCCGCGGCGCCGCAGGCGCCCGCCGGCGCGGGGCAGTTGGATCAAGAGGAGGCGGCGGCGGCCGCGGCGCTCGCGGGCGCTGCGCCGCCGGGCGCGCCGCCGCTGTTCCGCGCCTTGGGCCACCTGCTGCCGCCTCAATTTGCCGCGGCGTGCCCCCCAGACGCTGCGCAGCAGGCGCTGCTGCTGCAGCAGCAACAGCAGCAGCAGCAACAGCAGCAGGCCCTGCTGCAGCAGCTGGCGGCTGCGCAGCACCAGCACCAGCAGCATGCGGCGGCGGTTGCGGCTGCTGCGGCGGGGCTGGAGCAGCACCAAGCTGCGTGCCTGCTGAACCAACACATGCAGCTGCAGCATCACCACCAGCAGCAGCAACAGCAGCAGCACCAGCAGCAACAGCTGGTGTCGGCCCTGCACCAGCAGCAGCTGCTGCAGGCGCTGAACGCGTCGGCGGCCGCGGCCCACGCGCAGGCGCAGCCATTCATGGCCGCGCCCCAGCAGGCGCCGGCTGTCCTCTCCTAGCATAAACGCTCCCCTCCACTGCCTTTAGAGCCCCTGCCGCTGCTGCGGCGTGCCCCGCCCCTTCACCCGACGCGCAGAGGCGGGACGCCCGCTGAGTAGGAGGCTTGAGCGTGCTTCCTGAGCAGGGGCCGTCTGAGCAGCGGCCGGCGATGCCACACACACCCCTCCGCGTGCCCCGCCCGGCGCTTTCCCCGCTCGCGCCCGGGCCGGCGCCGCCTTACACCCCTCCTACCCCACACCGGCCCCGGCCCCTTTCCTTTTCACACAGCCGTTTCACCGAAAGCGTGTACATACCCGGTCCCAGTGAAAAGCTTCGTTCGCAAGGGCGGTCGGGCCTGGGGCCAGGGGCCCACCTCGCAACGCCACCCCCGCGCTCAAGGCACACAACTGATGACCGCTGCTGTGCCCGAGGGGGCCCCCTGCACGCCCCTCGCTCCACCTCCATCTGCGCAACCCACACGCCTGCTAGTTGTTGTTTGCGTGCCCCCGGCACGCGGTGCGTGCGTGTGCGCGCGCGTTCGCACGCGTATGTGCGTTTCTGTGTGTGTGTGTGCGTGTGTGCGTGTGCACGTGCGCAGGCGTCTTGAGGGCTGGGCGCCTTCAGGAAGGCGCCCAGCCCTTGCCTCCCCCTGTTGAGACCCGTTTCAGGTGCCACCATCCGGCCTGCCCCAGTGCCCCCGCGGCGCCCGCCGCGCCTTTTTGGCCGTGCCCTTGACGTATGTTGCGCAAACTGTGCGTGTGCTAAACTGACCGCCGCGGTGCCTGTGACGCCCGCAGCCTCACCCTACCAAAGGCCCAAGCGCCGCTGCCGGCACATCCCTGGCGCGGCAAGCGCGGCCCCCTTAAGCCGGCTCGCACCCCCTCTGCCCGCGCCGGCGCGGCGCGTCGCGGCGCCGGGGCGCCTTCCGGCAATAGAGGGGGCCCCCAGCATTTACCCGAAAGGCTTTTCCCGCTCCTGGTGCCCAGATGACAACCCCATGAACATGAACATGACAGCCGGCACAATGCCCGTTGCGACGCGACCACGCCTGGCACGCCCCGCCCTCCCCCCTGCCAGCCTAGAGCTGCGCGGCCGCGGCCCGTGGGGCGTGCGACGGTCTGCAGGGCTGCTGTCAGGGCGCCCTCGGCTGTGGGCCGCTCGCCGCACCCTGCACGTGTCTGGCAAGGCCGCGCTTTCTGGCGCCCGGGCCCTGACCTACCCCGTCATCATCATCCATGTCCACCATATCTGAAGAGACGTCGCGCATGTTGTAACAGGTTCCTGCTCTCCTATGATTCTGCTCTCCTTTGCTTGGCACAAGAGCACAGCCCCCAGCGCTCCTCGTGGCCCCAATGCGTCAAGCTTAATTTCTTTGGGGGGGGGGGGAGGAAGGGGTATAGCCAACATGAGAGGCATGAGGCGCCCCTGCCGCAGCTGGCGGTCCAGGGTATTACCGGTACTCATATTACTCACACGGACGACCGCACGGCCACGGTTGGGGGCGTCAGTGCCCCTGCCCTAGATGGCATGGGGAGGGGAGGCGGATGGCACAAAGGCAACGCCATAACGCAACAAAGCTAGGAAAAGTTAGGAAGGGCGCAAATGCGTAATTGCACAAGCGTGTACAAACAGCACGACCAACCAACCAACCAGAGCCGTCGGCAAGATCGCGGACGGTGCTGCTGCAAGCACAAGAGACGCACCAAATCGAGCAATAACAGACGTGTGGCCCCAGCAGGAGGGGCGGCCCCTAGCGCACGCAAGCGCGATTCAGGCAGACGCGGCTGCACCCCTGCAAGGCGAGGGGCAGCCTAGGAAATTCTGGCCCTGGCGCCCCATCAAGCCGGTCCGCCTTTGCATAGATGCAGTTGGGTGCAGGTCAACAATGCCTGTGTGTGCGAGGCAGCGCGCAACAAGAAAAAAGAGACAGCGCCGCACGGCCCCGCCGCCATGGGCACCGCGGCCGCGCCGCAGCCGCGCTAAGGCCGCCCCAGCTCGTACCAGCGAGCCGGGCCCGCGCCGCGCCGCCAGGCGCGGCGCAGGGGCCGCGCCGCTAGCAGTTTTCGCAGGCGCGGGCGGCGCCAGTGCACGCCGCCCCCCTGCAAGATCCCGGAGATGCGCCAGGGGCGCGCCAGGGGCGCATGGCTTGCGAGTCACACCCGGTCGTCGTCGAACATCCTGCGTGATGGCGTGCCCAGGCGGGCGCCGCAGGCCGGAAGTTTGTTGCAAGCAGAGGCACGGGCGCGTGCGCGCGGAGGTTCCTGCTGGCACACGTGCCCGGCCGCGTCAACCGCCAGTGGGCGCGCCCGCGAGCGCATCATGGGCCCCCCGGCGGCGCACACTCCATGGCACATATGCCGGCGCGACGTGTTTTCGCCCCAGCGCTCTCAATTGCACGCTTTCGCGCTGGGCAACACAAGAGCTGAAGCCTGAAGCCCTCCCAAAAAACCCACCACTTTGTGTGCTTGGGGGAGCGGTTGCCAACGCGCAAGCAGTACTCGTGGTCCCCTGGCGGCCGCGCCTTCTCTGTGCTGCTGCCAAGCATCGACCTCAGGGACAGGCACACCTGGAGCAGAAGCAGTGCATATGGTGTTACGCGCGGTTGCGCGTCCAGTTGCGTGCGATTGCTGGCGATGGCACATGATAGCTTGCATGGGTTTGCATGGGCTTGCCTGCGCTTGAATGGGCTTGCATGAGCTTGCATGGGCTTGCATGAGCTTGCATGGGCGTGCGGGAGCTGCACGGGCTTGCATGGGGCATGACAGAGCGCCCACACTGCCTCTGGCCCGTGCGCCTGTTTGCGTGCTGCGCCGTCTGCTGGCGCACGGCGCCTGCATACGTGGGGTGCTGGCCTCGGCCAACCTACAGGCACGCCGAGCCGCGCATCAACGCCCGCAAGCGGCTTCAGGCGGCGGGTGCGAGGAGCAGGAACCGCCCGGCGCCAGGCCCTGGCGGTGGCCGCCACTCCGGCCGTTGCCGAGGGAACCGCATCCGCTCCCGCTGCTGCTGCTGCTGCTGCTGCTGCTGCTGCCGCCGCCGGCGACCCTGCTGCTGCAGCTGACCAAGAGGTTCACAAGAGAACAGCCGCACCTTGTTTATGGTGAGCGCGGGGCTCCAGCCCCCATTGTGACCGTCATAGAGGATGTCTGGAGGTGGGAACAGGCGGCGCATGCACGCACATTCTCACATGAGAGGCCAGGTCGAAGCATGCAATGATGCAAATTCTCAATAGCAGGACACTCCCCCGATCAGACGTGCCTGCAATCGCTGGCAGGCGCGCACGCGCCGTCGCGCTGCCGGCCCCCACTGCGCCCCGCCCACCCAGGCAGATGTGTCCGTTGGAGTATATGTGCTCGTGCATCGGCACCCTTGGCGGCACAAAGATGACCTCGGGCGGTTCAAGGGGGTATCGTTCGCTGAACTTGACCTGCAACCGGTACACCTCCCCTGCGCGCAACCGCGCGCGCGCATGTGAGTGCATTCAGGTATGGGTGTCTGGGTGTGCATGTGTGTCTTGTAAGGGGGGTGCGCTGGGCATGGGGTGAGGGAGCACTCTATATACGCACGTATCAGGGGCATGCTTTCAAGCAGCTGCTCTGCCAAGCAACGCCCAAGGGGGGGGGGCACGCTCGCGTCGCGCAGCTGCCCTGCCGAAGCGCATTGCGAGGGCTCCCACTGCCGCCGCTCCCGGCCCACACCTTCGTACAGCCGCGGCATGCCGGGCGCTGCTTCTGGTCCCTCCATCCGGATTATCCAGGTTGTGATGGGATCAAATGTTTCCAGCAGGCAGCCGTCTGGCGGGTTGCGCGTGAAATCCCGCAGCTCGCTCTGCAACGGGAAGCGTGGCAGCAGGAGCGAGGCGGCGCGCAGCAACTGTCGCGCTGAGTGCTCTGTGCAGTCTTGGGTTGCTGCGTCATGCGGCATCAGGCTCGACAGCAGGCGTACAAGGTGACGCCCGCCCGGTGCGGTCGCCGCGCTCGTCCTGCACCTGAATGCGCCGCGCCGCCACTGGCGTCAGCGCGATAGGCGGCGCCTGCATGGTGCCTGTCCGCAAGAGATCGGCTGCTGTTTATAGAGGCAAGGGCGTGCGCTGAGGGAAGCTTTGGAAGCTGCCACGGTGTGAGCCCAGTCGCGAGGTATGTTCGCCACTCCTTAGAGCTGGAACGGTGCTGACATGGAAAGGGGTGCAGGTGATACACGCACACACCCTACGCCTCGCCCTAGGACTTTAGCGCAGCTGGTGTCCCGATCTGACAGATTTCTCGAACAGATGCAAAGCAGCCACAGCAAGAGTTGATATGTAAGGGTCATAGACAGTGGTCGTTGAAGGCAGACCCAACTTCGTAGCTGCATGGTCGCATGGTTCGGGGCAGGTGCCTCAACTGCAGCACCCCGCCCCCCAAACGGCACCCGCCGAGCTGTCAGGGCTCAGAAGAACCGAGCCAACAGAGGATGTCTTGCTGAACCAAGACATCAATACATGAAGGCATTAGTCGAACATTCGGCATAAAATCCATGCCGATGTGGCTCTAGCAGGCGTGCATGTCCGGCTCATCTGGGTTTGAACGAGTCAACGCCTGAGTTCGGACGAGATCTCGCAGCGAGGCCCTTTTGGCACCTGGCCGCGACGCAGCACAACACTACTATAGACTGCCTGCATCCCTGTGCCAGTGAGCGGGCCCCAATCATGCAAGCACCGCTCCTTCAGACTCATGGCCCGTTTTGTGCGCGACGCAATTTTGCTTTGCAATCATACTCGTGGCCCGACAGCGCCGCATGCTCACGATCACATGTGTGCGGAAGGCTCCGGCATGCTGCGCCTCAGGGATTGCTTGCTCAGGCGTGTGAATGTGCACCTGCTGCATTACACAGTGGCCGCCGGTGCTGCAGGCCAAAGGGGCAAGGGCAACCTGAAAGAGGTCGTGCCAGGCCACTCACCAGGGGCGTGCCAACGAGCCGGCGTTTTCATGACTGCAAATAAATGGGTCGCAATACCTTGGCTCGGCAAAAACACCTGAGGTCTCGCGCCATCAAATGCGCCCAGTAATCTGGGCGGGCTCGCCTGCCGACCCTTGATCGGGGCGGGCGCATCGCTGGGCAGCGGGGACTTCGGGCGCCAGTACTTGCGCGCACGCGGCAGCATAGGAGGGGCACGGCATCCTAGCTCGGGGGCCTTTCCGGCACCTAGCGCCGCGGCACGTGCCTGTATTCAGGGCGCTCAGACTGCTGCTGCGGTTGGCACGCACGCCGTGGGCAGGGCTGCGCGTGCAGAGGCTATAGATCTCAACGGCTGACTGTGCGCATCGACGGCTGTCGTGTGCAGGGTGGGCAGAGAAAATCGCGTGCACAGCTGCCACCACCAAACAATGCACCGAATGCGATGCCCGGAGCCGAGTGCGGGCCATTGGCGCACAGGCGCACGTGCAGTAAAGGGCGCTCTTGTCACTTGAGCTCGTCAGGTGCAGTGCATGCGGGGATGCGTTTGAGCGCCAGGCAAGTGACTGGGCCAAAAGCTGGCCACAAGAAAGGATGCGCCAGAATGAAAAGGTGCAGAGTCACGAACAAAGATGGGGCAAAATTAAGAGGGGACGAGAGGGTCCATGAGGCAAACACGGCGCGGTCTCTTGCAGGTTTCCTCTGTGCAGCTGCGCGAATGCGCCCGTGCCCGTAATACGAGGCGAGACGCGATGCAGAAATTTGCAGTGTGGCCCGCGCCAGCGCCGCACACCGTAGCCGCGCCCAGGCGCCGCACGATCCGGTCCGTCGGCGGCCCAGAAACCAGGCGATTCAAAGGGTCGCGGCAGGAGGCTGTACAGCGGGACGCGGGTGCCCCTCCCAAAAGAGCACCATGCAGTGGGCACCAACAAGCCAGTCAAGATTCAAGGTCGCCCGGCCACAAACAAGGGGTCCCTGTGCTTGCAGCGGGCCCCGCTGCCGATTTCCATGGCCGGACGGCGCCCCTCAATCTGTGGGGCGAAGCGCAAGCTTCTTCACGGGCGGCAGCCCGCGCCGGCGGCAATGCATCGCTGTGCGTGAAGCGGCAGTCGGGCCAGGCGTCTGCAGGGGCTGCGCGCCCTCCGGCCGCTCACGCCAACCCCACGGCCGCCGCCGCCGCGCGCCCCGCCGCTGCGGCGTTGCCGGCGACGGCGGCGACGAAGCGGTTGGTGTTGTCCCCGGCCTCGATCGGGGGGAAGAAGTAGAAGTGGGCGGTGAACAGGAGCGTGGCTTGGACGAGCGCCATGCGCAGCAGGCGCGGCGGCTGCTGGCCCTTTGCCTTGAGCACCTGCAGGATCTCCAGCTCGACCTGGGTCAGCAGCACCTGGACGTTTTGCGTGTGTGTGATATCGAGCGTGTGTGCGAGTGTGTGTGCATCCACGCGTGTGCGCACGTGCCGTGGCTAGATGTGGCGCCGTGCTGGTTGCTGGTTCAGGCGCGGGGGTGTCCAGCACCCACACTGCTGCTGCGCCCAGAGCCAAAGCGACCCGCTCGTGCTCCGCTGTGCGTGCCGCACTACACCACACCACGCCGCACTATGCTGCGCCACGCGATATGCCCAGCGACGGCGACGCCCCAAAAAAGCCACCCCCCAGCCCCCTCACCCGGGGGGGGGGGGGGGGGGCAACCCCC